TTTTGCATTAGTATTACATATAAGGCTGAGATACCCAACCTTTTCTCATTTATATTAAATCTATATTGCTATTTTGCAGACTTTCAGTCCTGTAGTTCCTAAATGGGTGTGGAAAACCAAACCTGCGAAGAAAATAAGCAAGATGCTTGTGGATCATCTTGGCTTGACATTGACAAAAGAGGATCTGCAGAATGTTGTCGAGTTGATGGAACCATATGGTCAAATAAGAAATGGCATAGAAATGCTGAGCCCACCTCTTAATGTAAGTTTAATTTTATGTATTCACCAAACTTACTCTTATTGGCTCCATATCTTTCCAGAAATGGAACCTAATTTAGGCATCTGATTTTAGACCAACATTTTTTCAGTCAAAGCAATTGTAATCCGATTGATTAATTGCCACCATCCATGAACAAAATTTATTTAAAGTCTGGTGACTTCCTAGTACACGACATAGCTGGAAGCTTTTTAAATTTGTCTCATGTGAAGAATCATAGGTTGCTCATGGTCAGATGATCTGTATTCGACCTATGCTCTCATTTCCAACTCCATGACTTACTATAGAATTCTTCTAAGAAAACACTCTAAACACAATATATTTACCACTCAAGGCCCACCCTACTATTCCCTCACATGTAAAAATTATGGCACAATTAGTTTGTAGATTTTCTGATAGCCTTTTGTATAACTCCATTTCTCATTGTACTCTGGCTTATAGGTTTTTCAGTTTTTGGAACCTCAGAAACCTAAATATGAAAGTCCTGTTCAGAGTTTAAATGAATTCAGGAATCGACAAGTCGCTAGTTCAGGGGGGTTTCTTAGGTACCGATTGGTATGCAATCAAAACTGTCGATTAGAACTTTTTATTCACTCTAACTCAAAATCTAACTCAAATTTAGCTCAACCACTATCCTCAATATCATCAATATAATTAAATAATATCAATGGTCTTTCCTACATCACATCAACTTTAATTCATTATTTATCAACTCACACATTTTTAACTATCTATCACTTCCAATCATCTTTCCCACTTTTATGTTTAATCATTACATTTTGAATCTTATTTAAATACAAACTCAAAATCCCACTCAATCAACTTTATTAAAATTAGCTCACTTTAACTTAAATATTATTTAAATACAAACTCAAAATCCTATTCAATCAATTTTATTAAAATTAGTCCAATTTTGATCGATTTTAGTAGTAAAAATCGATCACGACCTTAGTATATACAGTCATTCTTACGTCCACGGGTCATTGGATATTGTCCATGTTTGAAGTTTATGCTATTACAGTGTGTCTGTTAGGGTATTTTTTGAATCAGCACCAAGTGTAGTGTTTACAAAAGTGTGATTTCATTAAACTGTTTGTGGTACTGTGTAAGTTTGTGATGATTAGGTTCGGCGCCCTTCTAACATAAATCATATTTTCTTGTGCCAGAGGTATTATTGCGGCTAGATTATCAGCCTAGGTGCCCAAGAAAGTGCGTGTGTTTTTCCTTTTTCTTCTTTTCTTTTCTGAAAAGGATGTGTTCAGACAAGAAGCATTAGATTTAGGTCCACAATTATATTGTGTTATCAAAACTTGTTCAAATTGATTGGAACTTCAGTTTAGAAATAGCTTGTGGGTTTTTTTTTTGGG